AATGAAGAATGAAAAAGTGAATCGTATGTGTTTTATATTTGTGAATTAGAGATGTGTGTACGTTAATTTGAGTAATTGAAAAACAGTAAGGCTTTTGTTAGGCAAACATAATGTTTAGACAATCATTTATGTTTAGACAATCATACTTTTTCAATAGATATGCACACATTGAAATTATGATTGAGAAATTGGTTATTTGAGGGTAATTAAGAAAGTTCTGTCTGGAAAAAAAAAATGAACTGTGATTTCTTTTTCTTCATACTTTGCTGTGTTCTGTTTGTCTGGTGTCTACTGAATAACAAGACAAAAAATTCATCGATTGAGGCAGCGCGATTTTAATCGATAGTCCTTTTTACACGTTTCGTAATCTTTTCTTCTTAAAAGGTTTCACCTGAATGTGGAAGATTCATCTGAAGATTTTACTGACCACAAGCTAAGCTCTGCAAGATGAGATCATTGAAGCCCATTGAGTACAAATGTAGCTAAAAAAACTATGAATATACATATTCATTTCATATAACAGTAACCAAGTTACTGAAAAGAAAAATTTTGCGTTCGATGCAGGGATTCAAGAAGATAGACTCCGAAAAATGGCAATTCGCAAACGAATTTTTCATCAAGGATCAAAAGCATCTCCTAAAGAACATTAGACGAAGAAGAAAAACTCCCTCTAATGCCCCATATTCTCACCAACAACAATCCACTCCAAATAATCCATGTGTCGAAATCGGTACATTTGGACAAGATATTGAAATCGACCGATTGAAACGAGACAAACAAGTCCTCACGATGGAGCTCGTGAAGCTCAGGCAACAACAGCAAGAAACGAGAGTTCACTTGCACCGAATGGAGCTAAATTTACGAAAAACCGAGCTCAAACAGCAACAAATGATGAGGTTCCTAGCAAAAGCGGCGCGAAATCCCGATTTCGTCCGTCAGTTGATCCAAATGAAGGAGAGAAAGAAAGAAATCGAGGAGGATATCGGCAATAGAAAAAGGCAAAGGCCGATCGAATATGGTGAGTCGAGCTCGAGCCGAAGTGAAAACCTTCCGAGTCGCGTCAAACTCGAGCCGATGCACGGTTTTCAAGTGTCGGAGCTCGAGGCGCTTGCGTTGGAAATGCAGGGGTTTGGGAGGGCAAAACCGGAAAACGAGGAAAAATCGGAAGGGCTCGAGGAATTAGGTGATTGTTATGATAAAGAGCTTGATGAGGGATTTTGGGAGGAGTTGCTAAGTGAGGGTTTTGGTGAATTTGAAGGAGGTGATGATGATGATGATGATGATGATGATGATAATGATGGTGATGAAGAGGATGTTAAGGTGTTGGCTGATAGGTTTGAGTATTTGGGGTCAAGTCCTAATAAGTGAGAAAATTTTGTTTTGGACTTCAGTGTGACTTGAAAAATATTGGGTTCTAATTGGTTTAGTAACATTAGTTTGAGCTTTGGTAATGGATTAGAGTAGCTTAGCTTTCATTTTCTTGTCTTTTTAATTCCCACTTATTGGAAGAAAAAATATTTCTTGTTTCAAAATTGTATTTCAATTTTTGTTTTATTTAGTTGGATAATCGGTCTGTGTATTATAACATCATTATGAGCACATGTCATTCATTTAATAGAATGAATCATGATTTCGAAATAATAATCTCTTTTAGTTTGGTAACTACTTAAGTTGGATTAGAGTAGCTTTCATTTTCTCTCTCTCTCTTTTTTCTTTTCCTTTGATTGGAAGTGATTTTAGGTGAATTACTATGGGGTGATTGGATATGAGTTCAACTAGTAAAAATCTAGTTTTTTTAACTATAGTTAAGTTTGAAAAAAAGTGGTATAGTTAGTTGTTAGTGGATATATTAAAATAGTATTTAAAATAAAATAATTAAAGTTGATTTGATGTAAAAGTAAAAGAAAATGATTGGAAGTGATAGTTAGTTAAAATTATGTGAGTGGATGAATAGTAAATTAAAGTTGATGTGATGTGTAAAAATGATTGGTTGATATTATTTTATTATATTAATAATATTGAAAATAATGGAGTTGAGTTAAAGTTGTGCTAAATTTGAGTTTGAATTAGTTTTTTTACTGTACAATGCATAAACAATCACCCCTATATGATGCCTTTGCTTATACTTTCCTTTTTATCATACATGTTCATTGATAATTGTTGGAAGTTTTAAGAAAGAATAAGTTTTTGAGTTGATTTAGAATGGTGAAATTGAGTTGTGTAGCTAATGAAATTTAATTTATGTAGTAGAGTATAAATGAGTTTAAACTTCATACAAAATAAGCTAGGTTTTTTTTGGCTTTTTGCCTTTTCATTTGTACTCCAAGATAGTTGGCAAAAGACTAAAGAATACATATCCACTTACCTACAAAAATAATGTTAGCATGTATAAAATAATTAAAAGGAATTAAAATTTGAAGATGAATCACATTGATCCTTTTCCTTCAATATATGCTGTAATCGGTACATATGTCGTGATATTACTATGCTTCAGTTTCTCTTTGTCCTATACACTATTGAGTTAGGCAAATTCTCTATTGCAACATCTATCTGAAAGTATACAAAG